TAATACCTGAATTAATGCAAGATGTATCATGGAGTCCTGTTGCTTAGTTTTAACAAATAATCAAGCCACTATCACTTTATGCAATTAGTTCACAGATCAGTAATGGGATGTTAATTCACATTGTGTGGTGACTGTGCTGTGTTTAATGTTTTTGTTTGTATATGGCTGGCGGTGGTTTTGTGTGGCGGCTGGAGTTGTGTTGTGTTTTTTTTTGGCCTTGGCGGAGCTGCTTGGAAGAGGAGAGCGCTCAGCGCTGGCACAGCTGCAGCTCATTCATCAGGACGCGCTGGATAAAGCCACCATTCCACCTGTGCTCGAGTGCCAGATGATTGCCAACTATACCAGTGGTACTTTGCCGCCTAGCACGTACATGAGTGTATTGCTAAGGTATTCTCGTATACCGAGGTATTCTCGGTATTCTCGGTATTCTCTCAAACTGTACATTTGACAGTATAAAAATGGAATTTCTAAAGCTGTTTTTAAAAACTCTAAATGGAGTATTTAGTGTTATCATAGACAAAATCAAATAGTGTGCCAAGAACAACTGTACTGTTATAAAGAGTTTGTCAGTTGTCTGTATTTTAATATCGTCATCTTGTCATTACTAGAAATTGCTGATAGAAAAACACAATCTTATTGTCACTTCAGTTGTCAGTTGTTGACCTGACCATCCCAAGCCTAATGTAATACAAGCATATGAAGACCTGACTGCATACCTTGGTTTCACCCACAAATTTGTACAGGTCTCGAGAGATGATCTTCTTCAGAATCTTGCCAGCTTCCTTCAGCTCTGGAGAAGGCGACCAGGGGTGGAGTATTCTCTCAAACACCTGATCTACAGGGCAGGTAGAAAAATGAAGTAGAAGAACCGGAAAAAGGGTCACAAATCCATCAGCAGTGTTTCAAAAATAAATAAACTGATAAGCCTTACTATCAAAATCAAACAATATATGAAATGACTTTTACTTGATGAGTTTATTATTAGATGTGACAAAGATCATTTATGTTCACAATTGTAATAATTTCAGTAGTTTTGATCAAAGTATGCATACTTATCACTCATTACCACTTCATCATTTAATGATACTGATGACAGTCTGACAGAACAAGTC